CGGGGGGGGCTGTGGATGCCGTTACCATGGCCGGCAGGCTGGGAGCCGGGGGTGAGAGCCGGAGCTCACACCTCTGATCACTTGCTCATGTCTCCCACGGCCAGAGGGAGCTGGGGCCATGGGCAATGCAGCCTCTCGAGGTCAGCCCTGCATGGCCAGGGCAGGGTGCAGAAATGTGGAGAGAAGATCTCGTTTCTCATCTGCTGCGGACTGAATTGTGTCCCCTCAAAGTCCATGTTGAAGCCCTATCTTCCCATGTGACTGAATCTGTGGAGAGAGGGTCTCTAATTAGGGACATAATCAAGTTTAAACAAGGTCATAGGTACAGTCTGATCTGGTAAAACTTGTGTCCTCACGAGAGGCTGAGACTCCAGGTCTCTCTGCCATGTGAGAACACAGAGAGAGGTTGTTCACCTCAGCCAGGAAGAGAGTGTTCACCCCAAACTGCCCTGCTGGTACTTCGATTTCGGACTTCCAGCATTCCGAGCAAAGGAATTTCTGTCCAGTCTGTGGTATCCCTTCATGGCAGCCCAAGAATTCTGATGTATTTTCTGCAAGTAGAAGACTGTGTGTGTCTCATGTGGTTCCCGTGAGGAGTGCATGAACTAACCTCTGGAATTTCTAAGCAGAGTGGATGCACCATAGTTCACAACTCGGTTACTTTATTATCGATTATTGAAAATGAAACAGTCAGCGTCCGTGTCAGGATTTAGTTACTGCTGTCTGTGTATTTTAGCAGCTTCAATGATCTTTCTTGAGGTGAACCGAACAGGCCTTCAGCCAGGGCACACACTGTAGTTTAAGATGCCTTTTCACATTCCATTTGTGACCTGCTTTTGTTAATGTCCCACTCCACCCCGCATCACACCGATTAGCGTCTCATGTTAGTTGATGATGTCTTCTTCAGTGGTTTAAAGCAGGTGGCTCTGAGCTCGTTACTCTATAAATAAAGATTATGTATTTTTTTCCTGAGTAAATTACTTTGTATCAGTCCCCGCCGAAGCACACCTGCCATGTTTCACAATGTTCTTGTCAAACAGCAGACCCAACACTTATTTCCATTTTTCTCTCCTGTGTTTTACATCTCGCCTTGCTTGTCTTTTTAGTACATAAACGCTTATGGGAAAAAGCACTCATTTTGTATCATTTCATTTGTCAGTTTTAAGCATCAAACACACTGATAGTTTTGAAAAAAAAAAGTGTAAGTTCTTTTAGGTTAAAAATTCATATTTTAGCACTACACTTACTTCTGTTTCCTGGAATGGCGGGTGCTTATAACAAAACATTGTCATCCACTCAGTTTAGCAATGGGTCACATGATCAGAAACCTGAAAGTGGGAACTGCTAGGCCTTTTAAAACAGGTAAATGGACCAGCAGGTGACATGGTGGTTAAGGTGCTAGGTTTCCGCATAGCCGACCGCTGTCTGCGTCTCAGACCCGGCCGCTGAAAATCACACTGGGATTGTACGCGTGCGTGCCCAAAATCCCAGGAGGAGAATGGAGGAGAAGGGAGTGCAGCACGGCCATCCCCCTGAGGGGTGATTTCTCTTTTTCTCTCTCTCCGTCTCTCTTGGGCATGCACATGTGCCCTGTGGCAAAACCCTAAAACAAAACAAAATAAAATGAAATAAATAAAACAAAACAAAAAACGGGTTATCATGGTGGAGTGGCTTGTTAGCTGCTAGACTATACTGCCTGAAAGACAGAATAGAAAGCAGGCCCGAAGAGCAGCTTAGTGAAAGCTACAGGTCGTTGTGTTCTCCTCTGGGCAGACACTGCGGCAGGTCCAGCCTCCCTAATCCAAATATCCCAAATTCAAAATGCTCCAAAATCTGAAATGTTTTGAGCAATGCCGCAACTGACTCCAACAGTGGAAGATCCCCCTAACCTCATGTGGTGGGTCAGGTTCAAAAGGCTGCAAAATAAAATGAACGTTTAAAAGGCTCTTCGGGGGCTCAGCTGCGGTGGTGCAGGTGATAAGGCGCTATTGCACGGTGCTGGAGCCACGCGGCGGCCTGGTTCAAATCCTGGGTTGACCTGAGCACGCCGGGGGTGCCCGTGGTTCTGGACGACTGAGAGGCTGGGGGAGGATGGCGGCATGGGGAGATCACGGTCAAGGGAATCTCTTTCTCCAGAAATAATCGAATGAACTTAAACATTACCCTCAGGCTATGTGTATGAATATAAATGAATTTTGTGTTTATATTTGGGTCTCATACCCAAGACGTGCGATATATATAAAATTCTGACTATTTTTCCCATTTCCAGGGGACGCGGGAGAGCTGCCTACAAACACGAACAGTCACTGGTGGGACGCCACACCCTGCTCCAGGCGGAGTCTCGGAGGCGCCGTGAACCTTCCTGGTGGGACGTCACACCCTGCTCCAGGCGGAGTCTCGGAGGCGCCGTGAACCTTCCTGGCGGGACGCCACACCCTCCTCCAGGCGGGGACGCGGGAGAGCTGCCTACAAACACGAACAGTCACTGGTGGGACGCCACACCCTGCTCCAGGCGGAGTCTCGGAGGCGCCGCGAACCTTCCTGTCTGCGTAGAGTACAGCCCGTTGCCGTTTGTTTTAGGGGCAGAGACTCCTCAAAGAGTCTCCAGCCAGTCGCTGATCTAAGAATCGCAGACTCACCTGTCACCTAAAGCCTCTGCTTCCAGACGTCCCGCCTCTTGGTCCGGGCCAACGTAAAAGACCTGTCACGCTGATTGACGCTCTCAGAACTGGGCAGAGGAACCGCCTTGTCTCAGGGCCACTCAGTCTCAGGCTTAGCAATGAGCTGCAGTAATGATCATTTCTACAGAAGTGGCTATCCCATCAACATGGCCAGGAAAAACCCCAAGTCTAACCCGGGTCCCAGGCCTCCTGGGTAAGGGGTACTCAGGCTGGAGCCGTGTGGGTGTGGGTCAGCTCACGTTGTCCGCTCGCCCTGCTGTCAGACGCCTCCGAGACCAGCCTGCGCTGACCACCTACTGTGTGTAAGAAGCTCTATCCTACTGACTGGGGTGGAGCCTTCCCAGGTGAGTGTGTGGACGGGTACAAGGAGGAACAGATCAAGGGTTTGAAGAGAGGGATTCCAGTGATGAGCATCAGCGTCCACGCGGGTCCGCGGGTCTGCAGGGAGGCGAGGCGTGTTACAGAAAGCAAAACCCGGGGATGGTAAACGGACCGGGGGTTCTGAACCGTTTCATTGCTAGAGCCGCAGGGCCATACCCTGAGGGTGGGGCTTACCCAGGAGCTCAGGCTCAAGCTTTACTCAGGCTTTAAAATTCAGACCCAGTCCCCCGATCGCTCGGAACTGCTTTTTTTCTCTCAATGGAATCAAAAAGCTTATGTCTGGTTGTCTGCTTAGGACGTTCTGTGATGATACACTGGAAAAATAAGAAGGAATTCAAGAATAATGAAGTCTGAGAGGCAAGAGGGAATAATCAGAGCTCAGAACCACCAGGTGGCGTGGTGGTTAAGGTGCTTGACACTCCCACATGGCTGACCACGGTTCAAGTCCCAGACCTGATAGCTTACTTTCTCAATTTCTCTCTGGTCAAAATTAAAAAAAAAAAAAAAAGAAACAATAAATAAAATTAAAAATAAATAATTCTGAAAAAAAAAGAGAAGGAATGATGGGCCCAATCCAAGAGGGCAGGAAGGACTTCGGGGTAAGAGCCCGAGCCTTGTCGTGGCCTGGAGCATGAACGTTGCATCAAGAGCACTGCAGAAGGATGCACAGAGGCCACGGAAAACCGCCCTCCGCACTAAAAGGCAAGTAAGTGCACAAGTCACTGTGGTCAAATCTGAGCAAAATAAAATAGGCAGTGATTGTAAATCAGTTGAATAGTGGTCGGAAGTCATTTCGAGGCCCAGCGGCTGACATTAGACGTGTGAAAGGGGAAATAGAATCCTAGCATTACCCTTGGCCTTGGCCTGGCAGTAAAAACATTTAGAGTTATATGAATGTGAAAGCTCCTCATTGGTTTTTAGCCCTTAAAGGCAACCTAAGCAGGAAGGACGGAAGGCTTGGCTCTGTTCGCAGTCCAGGGTAGAGACCTTAGCAGCCTCACTCGTAAGCGGAGCTATGATGGCACAGAAGAGGGGCGGGACGCCGAGATTCTCGCTGTGCAGAGGACACGCATTAGGGCTGACGAAGCTACGAGACCGCTACCAGGTTATCTAAAGGCATTGCGGTAGCCAGGTAGGGTTACAGTCAATACCGTAGTTGTCAGACACCGGAGGAAGGGCAGTGCAGGTTCCACAGACGTGGCCTCCACTGTGGAGTCAGAAAGAGGCTGCCTCCAGGACGAGCTTGGAGGGGGCCTGGGGGGAGGGAGAGAGGGAGCTGGGAGGGTGGGGCTCTGTTTCTTTCCAACATAATCTGTCTCTTATTTTTTAAATTCGTTACTGTGGGTATCCATTACATTAACACATAAGCACTCAGGTTTTAAAACGCTCTGGGATAAAACAGAATAAAATGTTAACAATGTTTGTTTCTGGGACATGGAACTGTATTTCTCTCCTTTTTGCTTGGCCTTTTGAGTTATCTCTAATGAGCATTTATTATTATTATTATTATTTTATTTACCTTAAAATCCTGAGCAACTGTTTTACTTTTCTCTATATTGAAGAGAACCGAGTACGCACGCCTTGAGAATAGACTCTGCACGCTGAGCCCTCCTGCCCACCCCGCCCCCTGCCCTCTTCCTGTGACCAGCCGCAGCCCAGCCTGCCCCTGGACAGCTTGTTTCCCTCCCTTCCTTCCCTCCTTCCTTCCTTCCTTCCGTCCTTCCTTCCTTCCTTCCTCCCTACCTCCCTCCCTCCCTCCCTTCCTCTCTTCCTTCTTTCCTTCCTTCCTTCCTTCCTTTTTCTTTCTTTCTTTGTTTCTTTCTAGATATTTTTGCTATAGGGCATATGTGCTCACTGGAGACACAGAGAGACAGAGATAGAGAAAGTGAGACATCAGCCCGGGGGCATGGCCGTGTCGCAGTCATGTCTCCTCCGGTCTCCTCTCGGGATCTGGGACACGCATGTACACATGCCCAGTGTGATTCTCAAGCCATCAGGTCCAGGACTTGAACCGCATTGGCCCTGTGGGCATCCAGTGCCTTAACCACTATGCCACCTGGTGACCCCAAATGTCCGTGACCGTGACCTCTGGGATCTGCTCAGGGATAAGCTAACCTTCTCTGTAACCTTTACACAATGTATGTACAAGCCAGCCCCCTCCCCGGGCGACAGGGAGTCTGCAATGCTCTGTAACTGATTCATGTGTAAACCCCGCCACTGTGCTCAGGGGCACAGACCCCCGTCCCCCCGGCTGTCGGCGGAACATGATTCCCAGTGTGAGTAAACCCATGCCTTCCGCTGGACTCTGTGCTCTCTGGGACTGGTGGGCCTAATGGGCGAGCCCTTTCACAGGGCTCCTCAGAACACTCCTTATCATGGGGGGGCAGGGGCGTGATGAGTGCAGGTCGGACTTTCTAGCTGTGGGATGTTGGGCGAGTCGTGCGGCTTCGTGGGGTGTCTGTGTCTTACCTGTAAAATGGAGACACCGACATCACACCTGCCTTTGAATGGCTGTGCTGAGGACGACAGCTCATGCCTGAGAAGCGTGTATCGGAGCACGGAGCCTGCTGCGCTGTGATCCCACGCGTGTGTAACCGTTCGCCACGGTTTTGTCCCTACGCTCCGTGATCTGGACCTGGTAACCCCTCCCAGGGGTCTCTTCACACGCCATCCCAGCACCGGCTGTTTCCCACACACGTGGAGTCTCCCCAGGCCCCTTCTGTCTCGATTTCTGTGTTCCCAAATCAAATGATTTCGCCCAGCCCAGCTCGTGGCCACTTGTCCTGTGGCTTTTTCTGGCATGTCCAGCGAAGTACTGTCCTCCCTACACAGACTTTCCGTGGTGCGGTGGGTCTTCCCGGCCCCTGGCTCCGCCACAGCGCTGTTACCAATGTACAAACACGTCCGCGGTTTCAGCCAGACCCCTGCGCCTGGAGGACGGAGCATTTCATAATCAAGTCCGGGTCAGAAGGTGCGCCTCCCCCAAACACTTTTAAATAGGAACGAACAAGTTAAAGAAAAAGAACACAAACATGTTTTCACCTTAGTTAAAACAAAGGTTCAATCATCTTCCCTTCTCTGATAAAATTCTTATTCTTGTTTCTCTTTTGTTTTTCCCTTACACTGCGCTGGAGTAAGACTTAGGATTGGCCTGGATGACAAACCATGGTGTCCCTTTCCTGTCAGTCTGACTCAGCCCTGAGCCTCATGGAGGTACATTCCCTTTGTTTACTGAACAGAGAGCAGAGCTCTTTGCTAAAGTGCTGACTCATTTCTTCCTGACAGGGATCTGGTTCGGTTGCTCCGCTGCTGCAGAACTTCTTCGCTGTCAGTTTTTTATTTGTTTCCATAGGTGGCGCTAGCTATGCGTGTTACGGTCACAAATTGGACTAAAAATTAATCTCGCCTAGAAATAATTGAATGTCCATTTGCTTTTCATGCTTTTTCTCAAGCCTCTTGCTTCTTTGTATTTATTTAATCTTAGAAATTTCCTTAAACAATGCTGTAAAGATGCTACACTCAAGTCATTTAAACCAGGTCTGTTACCGTGGGGCCGCCTTCAATATCTTCACATAATTCAGGCTTTAATGAAGGAAAATATTAGTAATAAAAAAGCTTACATTATTTATAGTGATTCTGAATCTTCTGCTTTAGAATTAATTTAAACAAATCATGTCCTAAGCATACCTGTGTGTGTGAGACAGAGAGAAAGAGAGAGACAGAGAGAAATAGAGACAGAGAGACTGAGAAAAAGAGAGAGACAGAGAGAGAGAGAGACTGAGAAAAACAGGGAGAGAGCAAGAGAGAGAAAGACAGAGAGCGAGCGAGCACCCTGGGGGGGGAGGGGTGCCACAAAGTACGGTCTTTGTGCCCGGCTTCTCTCCTTGGTGCCTCCTGGGGGCAGGCGTGCACAGTGAAGCTCTGCTCGGAGAACCAGGTCCCACGTGGCAGGCGAGGGTTGCAGTCCCAGCCCTGGTGGCTTGAAAACATGCTAGGTGCGTGTTTTCCACCTCCCAGGTTGGAGAGTTGGCGGGAGAAGGATCGTGCTGCGACCAGGGCCCGTTGGGGTTCTCTCTCTGTGTCTCGTGTGCACACGCTTGCTCTCTGGCATTAAAAAACCAGGAACGACATGTTCCCTAGGGTTTGTGGCACACATACGCCAAAGGTGGCGCACGTGCTGTCTGCACATGAGGGCGGAGGGGGAGCCGTGCTGGCTGCGAACTGCCGGAGCACGCGGGGCTGGCGGCGGAGGGAGGTGAGCGCATTGCTGTGGGCAGTGGGTGTCTTCATGGGGCGTGACCTGTGCAGTCATGTGGGGATTGCGGCCTGGCCACCCCCAAGAGGGTGATTTCTCTGTGTCTCTGTCTTTGTCTCCGTCTCTCTCTGGTGAGCGTATAGACCCTATGGCAAAACTTAAAAACAAAGAAAGGCCCTCTGTTTAGAAACGGTCGGCTTGGTCTTGTGCTCTGCTCTCACTGTCTTGGCTTTTTTCCCTCAATGAAAATGTTGGAGGAAAAGGGAGGTGGGGGGGAGACAGAGAGTGGCGTTTTCATTCAATGGACAGTCCTCCTGTCCAGCCTCCTGGCTCCTGGCCCGTTTATGTAGGTCCAGAACGTCAACCCAGGCCTCTCACATGCCCCAGCCTCCCGCTGTGGCTCCCAGCACTGTGCACCATGGCTGGCCTTTCGTGGAATGCTTACACTGCAGTAACACTTCTGTTTTGCACTGGGCCTCACAATTCATGCATCTGGTCCTGCCTCTAAGGCTTAAAGGCTTTACAAGCGAGCTGCGAGGCTGGGTGGAGAAAAGCACTGGATGCCAGATTCTAGGTGATGGTCTGCAAGGTCTGAGAGCGGGTGGAGTGGTGAGCCGGAAGACAGTCCCTGGAATGAGCCCATCCCTGGTGAGAATGGGGCTGGACGCCTGCAGCCTCTGCTCACCCCGATTTCAAGCACACGTGCAA